AACCACTTTGTACAGTTAAAAAGGCAATTGTGGCCATTGCATGTGCCTGTCCTGGAGTAATGGGAACTGCTGCTGGCAGCTGGTGAGCAGTGTGACCTGTTGGTGTGCATGGAATGGCATGGCTTTCTCAGTGTCAGGTCTGAACCCCCCTAAATTCACCTTCTTCCTCAGCATCTGCTGCCTTTCTACCCTGTGTCTGAGAGCACACACTCGGTGATGTGGTTGGTAGCCAGCAGAGCAGTGCCTCTGGCAGTGAGAGTGGTCTTCTGCCTCCACAGCTAGCCACAGGGCTTGGGCTGGGGTTTGCCCAAGTAGGGTTTTCCATTGCCTTTCCCCCTACACCAGTGCCATTTTTAACAAAAACAGCCAGCAGAACTTGTGGTGATATTTTATTCTCCATCCCTGGCAGTGTTCAAGGCCAGGTTGAACGTGGCTTGGAGCAGCCTGGTCTAGTGGAAGGTGTCCCTGCCTGTGGCATAGGGGATGGAAGTAGATGAGATTTAAGGTCCCTTCCAATCCAAACCATTCTGTAATTCTATGATTCTATGGTTTATTATGTGCCCAAAACAAACCAGAGGGTTTGTTGAGAGTATTAGTGGTTTCATTCTGTGCCTCTGGTTCTTAGAAAGGAAAATTTGTGTTTGGCAGATACAGATAGGCACACGTGTATGCACCAGGTGCTCCTGAAAATTGATTTATGGTAATCAGGGTTTTTTCCTTAGATTTAAAAGAGAAATCCACTCTCTAGGGATGAAAGACTAGATCAAGCGTCAGAGTTAACACCTGAGCTTACTGTAATCTTGACTTTTAGACTGACAGACCAGTGTCGTTCACATCACAGGTGGGCAAAACATCCTCTTTGCTATCTCAACCTGATGATGCAATTAGTGCGTTTTCAGAGGGGACATGATCCTGCCACACCTGCAGCAGAGCAGGACTGATCCCGCTGTGCTGTACAGAGCCAGACCAGCTGGGTGCTGCAGGAGAGCTGCAGCAGTGAGACCCGGTTCAGCACCACGCACAGGCAACCAGGCCTCAGTGAGATGTACAGACCTTACAAGGTTGGCAAGTTAACTCAGCCAAATCCCTCGGGCTACTTGGAAGGAACAAAGGGAGACAAAAATAGATTGATGGACTGCATCAGGAGAATTGCAAGTGTCAAAAATATCTGTTGCTCAGGGCAGAGGAAGATAGAAGTGACTGGAAGAGGCCAGAGTTCAGCAGTGGATTTATAAGGCTCCTTCTGGCACCGATAATATTACATTGTCATATCTGCACATGTGTTGCCAGAGCCATAGTGACTCTTTCTTTATCCTCTGCTTTGCTTTTTTCTTAACTAGACTTTGTTAAGGCTTTTTCAAAAGGCATCACAAGGAGCATCGCTCAGCTGGGGCAGCCCAGAGACAAAGAGCACGGCTGTCTGCCATGGGGAGACAGGGCAGCATGAGAGCGGGTGTGCAGGGGAGAGGTGCATGCCTCTGGGGAGCACAGCACCCCACAAAGCACCTGAATTCAGCTTTTGTGCTGTGGGACAGGGTCTGCTCACAGTGCTAACGGGTATGGGCACATCACTGCAAATTACTTTTATTATCTTCTACTAAAATCCAGATGAAGGTGTGTGATAAACGGTTTTGAAGACAGGCTCTGTTTTTTTTACACAAGAAAAGGGTTTCAGTCAGTGTTTCCGGAGCCTCTGACTGCAGTGAACACCATTACTGGTGCTGGAGGAGGACCTGGCCCAGGCAGGCATAGCTGCTTTGTCTGAACTGGCTTAGCCTGCTGTAACTGGGCTGGATGGCCCCTATTTGTCAACCCTTGCCATGTGAGCTGGCTGGTCTCTGTGCCTGCTTTGGGTAGACTCTCACGTTGGAGCAGATTTTATCCTGCGGTGTACATTTGTTCTCTGGCAAGCTGGAAGCTACAATTTATTATTAAAATTGATTGGCTCCAGTGCAGGGAAAACGATTGTAAGGAAACCCTATTATGGTTTTTCATTATCACCATTATTTATTTTTAAGTGCTATTAATATTTCTGAGCCTGGACAAGGCAGAAGATGAGAGGTGGTATCCACCCTTGCTGCTCACAACCTGAGGCCTTGCAGCACTGTCTGCAAGTGTGCTGTGAACAATTAAATGTATTGGAAAGTCTTTGCCCTCAATCTACCTCTGGTGAATGCTAACAGGGGTAAAGCTCAGAAGACAGCAACTTTAGCTTTGAATGGAAATGATCCAGGTTTGGAAGCCATGCCCCATCATCCCACGGTGAAGAAAGGCTCTGTGGTGTGCTGCTCAGTCCAGGCTGGCTTGGCCGGGCTGCTCTGGGCAATGCCTGCCTCAATTCCACCTCCTGGGGCTGTGCTGTGTCCAGTGAGAGCTGAACTTGTGCATGTGGGTCTTCGTGTCTTAGATAAGGTCCCAATTGCAACTGAGTCAATCTCTCTCTTCCTCTGAACTGGTACATTATTAGCACTTAATTCAAACTAGAAGAAAGAAGAACTCCAACTTGGATGTGAGGATAAGAATCATCCTATTTCATAGGCAAAACTAGAGCATATCTTCCCTCGCTCCCAGTAGGTGTGGACCAAGCCTTAGGAAACCAGCAATCCTGCAGGATAGTTTGTTAAAAAATTGAGTCCACACTGGTTTGCAGCAGCAAGGGATGGCTCCCAGCTTCTCCAGAGAGCACCATGGGAACCTCAGTGCTTGCTTTCTGATGGGTTTGACTGAAATGAAGTTTTATTTGCAAAACACTGCAGTTGGCCTGTTTGTGTCATAGACTGGAGAGGATTTATTTTTTCCTCTCCAGTAATGAGCACTTTTTTCTTACCTCTGTGATGTTACGAGCAGTAATTGTAAGGTCTCTGATGCAACAAGAGAAGCTGTAACTCTTGGGAGTAAGGAAATAATTATTCAGGAATATTATGTTTCAGGAGGTGAGCACAAGTTCAGGAAGACAATGTGTTCAGCAAGTTAGTTTCACAATGGACTGTTGTTTTCTTGTTATCCTCTGTGATTTTGGAGAACTCAGGTACTAGTTTGTGATGGAAACCCCAGAGGTTTACACTGCTAATTGAACTAGCTTTGTATCTACTACTGTGACTGTCATTTATGATGTGACTATTCCTGCTGAAGCATCGTGCAGAGCCGACTCAGATCATGCTATTTGTGTAGTTAAGATTTTGTGACAAACCCCAGACAGAGTGTCTGGGTGAAAGCTGGAATTTGTGTCGTCTTTGAAACAGGAAGGTGCAAAGCAGCATAAGCAGAAATCATTAGGCACAGCAAACCTTGCCTGAGCTTAGTTTGTCTCCTTTGCTGCATTAGCCTGTCAGCAGGGCAAAGTCAGAGCTGGAGACTGAGGCTGTTACAGAGCTGAGCTCCGACATGTGCTTTCATGGGAACTCGTGATTTTCAAATGGATAGACGTGTAAAAAAGATTGAGATGCTGTTGATATGTTCTTTGCTCCTTGTTCCTAATATATGCCAGTAAATAACAGACTATTCTCGCAAAAGTATTTTTAATCCTTGAGTTATCAATGTTAACTTTCACTTGGGGATGCAGAATTATTTCAGCAGGCACTGATCCCCACAGTGAATTCAGCAGCTTGACTTCAGTGGGGGCTCACTTCCATGAGGAAACCTGGGTTTCAGCCCAGAAGCTGCACAGAGTTTTAGAGGTCAGGATGTAACTTCAAAGCACTCTTCAAAGGGTTTCATATAAAAATAACTGTAGAAGGTATGAGTTTGGTATCCCAGTCCATTTGATTCATGTGTCATTGCTTATGAAAGAATGTGTGGCTGGAATACATACTGTTGGGGAGCTCTTCAAAAGCTTCTCCTCAGAGGGGGCTGAGATGCCAGTGTCTTGGTCGCTGCCTGCTGGGCTGGCAGAAGGTGCCTTTGCATCTCCTGAATCTTGCTGTCTGATCTGTGCAGTTGCTATTTCTCTAAGTACAAAAGGTGGATGACTATTTTTATACTTCCCTCAAGCAATTAAACCCTCATGCCAAGGCTGGCTCTAGGTTGCACTAACAGATGTAGGAAGGACCTTTGTAAAGTAATTTGCTGTTTTCATTCCAATAACTGTGGAATAGGTACACAAAATTCTTCTTCATATAATCAGCACTGATCTCAACAGAATTCAGGACTAGGCAGGCACAGAGACAAAACATCCTTATTACCTTCAGAAATACATCTCTGAATCAGCATTAAAGGTCATTGTTAGAGAAAAAAGAGGGAAACAAACTTCAGAATCTTTTGAAAGCGAGACAGAGCAATCTGCTCTCCCAAGGAAACCTTTATCCTAGCAAAATGCTAACAAGATGAAGTGGCAGGCAGTCAAAGGCTGGTGGGGGGGAATCTGGGAGTCACTCTGTCATCCTGTTGGATCCTATGTGGCAGGTGATCTGCAAGGCAGATTCAAATTGTGAGTGCCTTTAGTAATATAGAGCAAAATGGTGTTCTGAATGGGAAAGAAAGGATGATAGATGAAATAAGGTGAAATTCTGTACGGAACATTTACTATACCATTTTTCTTCATGTTGAAACGTGGTTTATTTTGTTCAGAATACGTAATCATCTGGTGTGTAAGACTGTAGTAGCATCCTGGTTTCTCCCAGTTCCATATTTCTTAGACAATAAAAGGCTACAGAAATGGATTGACAACAAATAATGAAGGTTGAAGAGGTTGGCAAGGTTGATTTTAGAGCTCAGTGAATTTCCACTCCACCTCATAGAGATATTACATAGTTAAAGTACCAGCAGTAATGACTGTTACTAAAATGTAATAGCATTTGCTGAGTTTTATCAGACAACAACAAAGGTATTTTCGAACTTCTATTCCTTATCTCTTTCTGTAGTTTATAGTAATTTAAAAAGTGTCACAAATCGTCCCCAAATTTAGAAGCTGACATGAGCAGTCCTGTATCCCGTTTGTCCTGTTCTGTGTACCAGTGCACTCCTCTGCCAGCCCTCTCTAACCATTCTCCCCTTTCTTGCAGCATGCAAGAGGAAAGAACAAGAGCACGGAAAGGACAGAGGGAATACACCCAAAAAGCCTCGGTTGGTCTTCACGGATGTCCAGCGTCGAACTCTACATGCAATATTCAAGGAAAATAAGCGTCCGTCCAAAGAATTACAAATCACCATTTCCCAGCAGCTTGGGTTGGAGCTGAGCACCGTCAGCAACTTTTTCATGAATGCACGGAGGAGGAGTCTGGATAAGTGGCAAGACGAGGGCAGCTCCAATTCAGGCAACTCATCTTCTTCATCAAGCACTTGTACCAAAGCATGAAGGAATAACCACGAACTAAACCTCGGTGGAAAAGCTTTAAAAATTAATAAATAAATAAAGACAGACCAGGACCTCAAGATAGCAGGTTTATACTTAGAACTATTTGAAATAAATGTTATTTATAAGTCCAAAGAAACCAAAGACATATTTCACCTGCATTATGACTTTGTTCTAAGACACACACTTTAGTAGGATGACGACTTGCAAAGAACAGAGAGGAAGAAGAAAGTGAAATGGAGGGAATGAAATGGAATGCAAAGAGAAGAAAAGCAGACCACTGGTTTTACACCTTTGCCCATTATCATCTTCACCGTACTTGGCTGTTTAGTGGTTTGGAGCATAGTGATTTCTTGTCATTGAACGGACATTTCTTCAGATATGGCTCTTCATTTCTACAGCAATTGCCATGAAGGTGTATAACGTACACACCAGTGGTTAGGGACTTAGTCAGGGCTGGTCTTCAGAGAGGGTTGTGCCATGGCATGACCTACAAAGCGTGGAGTCGTCTGAATTCATTTGAACGGTAGTGTGATTTTTGCTGTTTCATGGTTTGAACTTAACTGGTGCAATGCCCGGAAGCAAGTTCAAACTAGGCAAAGAAATTTTGAATGGTACCTAAACCAGTGCATTCTCTTTGTTTGTTAAGGAATGTTCAGATTTAAAAAAGGAAAACTATTCCATCCATTAAAAAAAAAAAAAAAATCGACTAGCTACCAAAGAACACATTTAATAATTATATTGCAGGTATTTTATTGCAATGATTTTACTATTCCAAAGCTATTTTTACACAAAATACTATGTAGAGTTATAGGTATAAACTAATCTAACTGTATAACACATAAAACTTGTAATCAAGACTGTTATTTGCAATTAGTAAAACCACTAATTCTGTGATTGGCAAGAAAGAATGTCATCTGAGGAGATCGCAGCCCCTTTTGGAGCACAGGCACTGATAATGGGATGACGCTTCCATTGAAGTCAGTGAGCCCTTCTGCCGCTGACTGCACTGGGAGCAAAAGAAGGGCCGCTATTGCCACGTGTAAGGCAGCGTGGCAGCTGTCGTGCCTGCATCCCCTTATTACAGTCTCCCAGGCTGACATTGCTGGAAGCCCATTGAACAGCGCTCTTTGCAAACCGTGCATTGTATATAAATGCAGCTCAGCTCTGCCATCTAGCCTGCAAACAGGAGACCTGAGGCACTTTGTATGCAAAAATGAAACGAATTACGAAATGTAAAACCACAGGGCTCAGCATCTGATCAATACTCGTTGACATTAGTGAGCTTTTTTTACCTATTGACTTTACTAGGCAAAGGAACAGCAGTAGCTTTGAAGGCTCGTGGTCTTTTCTTATTGAAAAAGGTGGTACAACATCAGTTAATGCTGGTGAGAAGAGCTCCAACAGGAGCTGCAGTAGTGGTTTCGGAAGGCTAAATCATGATGCCTCTGAAGTCAATAGCAAAATTCCCATGACACTGAGATGCAAGCCTGATGTTTCGTGGCTTCCTATCTGTGTGTAGCAGGCTGAGCTTTTGTCCTGTGCATTCTTTCTTGCTCATCTATTAATCAGGATAATGCATGAAATAGTTTAACATTTGTAGCTGAAAAGCTTTAAATGCTCTGTTGCTAACAGACCCATAGAAGAGAAATCATCCCATTCCTACTCTGATGAAATTAAAAAGAAGAGCGTGCAACATCTGTATATTAAATTCTAGTGTAAGGGAAAAATAGACTTTAAAAACCGTACATGTGCCTGTTAGATTTCTAACTGGTGTTTCAAATTACAGAGGTAATTCTGCTAGGTATATTAAATTCCAGAATAACCAAATATGCACGTTTAAGCCCAAAGCAAGGATTAGAAATAGATATTCTTACTTACACCCTTAAAAAAAAAAAAAAAAAAAAAAAGAGAGAGAGAAAGGAAAATTCAAGGTAAACTAGAACCCAGCCACCACCAACAAAATCAGATACTGGGTTTTGGGATGAAGCCCACTCAAAATAATAGCAACACCAAAGTTAAGCAATTCTGTAGCACCACTTATTTCCCAGAGAGGACAGGGTCTAGTCAAGGTTCAGGGTATACAGTTAATTTCCAGTAAGTGCTTAGAATGCAGCTGAAATATCTCTATATTAAAATAAAGTGAAATAAACCCAAGCTTTTTGGCACTGAATATTTCTCCCCATTTCCGTATGTTAAACCCACTTTAAGACTGACAAAGCAATTGCCCGTGAAAACGTAATCTAATCTGTGAGTTTTTTGAGTCTCTAGCTTACCTTAAATTTTAGCAGCTTTCTTTTAAAGTGTTCCATCCACACAGAGACATAATTGACATGGAAACATTAATAAGCTGACATACAAAGTATCTTATGGATGCAGTCTCACTAGTGTAAGGTTAATAAAGGACGGTGATAACTAACTTTTTAGGTTTCTTTCCAGCAAAACACTGCTTTGTAATGTACCTATAGTTTAGAAAAGAGAGCCTTATTTATTTAAAACTTGAGAATTTAAAAATGCAGGGAAATTCAAAGTACATTGCCGCATTTTTTAGTATTTCCATTGTATTGTCTTTAGAGACTACTTGCTGAAACCAAAGAGAACTTTCATACCAGCATTAAATTTGCACCCAATATGCAATTTCAGGATCTCTGATACACACACATGCAAGTCCCTCAATAGGTCTGTGTATATATACAAGCACACACATTTTTATGGAGTGCTGTATGTATGCACGTGCACACATGTATCCACACACACAAAACCCGATGCACAAGTTATAGATTTTAAGTGGTTTGGGTTTTTTTACATGTCTGTTTAAGTATATAGAAACGTTTTGGTTTTTTATAAGCCATTAGGAACAAAACCACTCTTCCCATGAGCAATATGCGCCTCATACTCTGAACAGGCAAAGAACACACTTTAATTCTTTTCAAAACATGAAGCAAATAACTATGGAACTGCTCATTCTACCTGTAAAGCTGTTTTACCTCTGAGCAGACTGCCTGGCCGCACCAACTGAAGCATGGATAGGTTACCTGGTGCTCCCTGGCTTGGACCATTGCCATTCCTCAGCAGGGCATCCTTAACAGGGAGCTGCTTTCTGATGTTGTGCTTAACGTTACACAGGAAAGCTTGTCTCTGTCTTATCAGTAAGTCTTTTGGTTCACTTCATTCCTGATAAAATAGTTTCAAATTCAACAAAGGGACCTAAAAATCTGCCAGGAAGGGTTAGGAGAGGGAGCAGAACCTGAAACCATTTGGGAGCATCAGGAGATGGGGCTTCAGTCAAAGGTGACTCCATGGGCGAGAGGGCATTAGGAATGTGCATTCGGCTCATAGCCTGCATCCAAACCTGACCACAGTAACCCACGAGCGGAGGCTGGCCGAGAGGTGAACTGTCCACATCCATCCCCATTGTAAATGGCATTATTAGCTTTCCAGGAAAAGAAAAATAACCAAAAAAATAACCCCCCTTCAGAGCAACCCATTCTGCCGCGATACCCGCACTGCTTTCAGGGGCATCAGCCTCCTCTCCTTACTCAGGTAAAGCAATCCCAACAAGAGCCAGCCAGGAACAGGGCTTTTGCTTGAGAATTTGCTCCTGCTCCCACCGATGCCAGAAGCGAATTCCCAAGCAGCCAAAGTGGCTGGGGATGCCCCATCACAGGACCAGGCCCAGGACTGCCATGGGCACTGCTCTTCTCCTGAGAGGGATTTCAGGATAAGGCCGTGGTGGTGGCGGGCTCTGCCTGGAGGGAACACTGCTGAGCTTATACCAAAGAGTCTTAGGACACCTCTCCTCACCTGAGTTGTAAACAAGACATTTTTACCCCGAGAAACAGTCCTTCTTTCTACTACTCTTCCTCCTATCCTCCTCCTCTTCCTCCTCCTTTGTACATAAGGATGATAACTATGCATTTAGCAAACAAAGAGAAAGCACTTACCCTTTTCTATCTTGCTGCGTTTGGGTGCATTCAAAGGCCCAGGGGCTAATTTTGAGACTTTGCTTAGCCTCCTGGTTTATTATTGTGGTGTGGTTAGCTTTACAATACATTTGGTAACTATTTGCTAAAGACAAAGAAGCAAAAGGTAAGGAATAGCTACTTCCACGTGTTAAAAAAAAAAAAAAGAAAAAAAAAGAAAAAAAAAGTGTGTAAAGATCTACTATTTATAGTGTGAACCAAAGACGCTACCTCACTCGATTTCCATTGGTGATTTTAATCACATTGATGATACCAAAGAATACCAAAGATTTTTCATGCACGGCCTCAGTCTGGAAAGGGAACTCATCCTCCTTCTTACCCCCGACCCTCCTCCTCACCTTCACTCAGTGCGTAACCTTGTCTTCATTCTTAATGGTAATGCTAATAACCTTACGAATACTTCTCTTGCTACAACTGCTACTACTGATGATGATAAGGATAATAATAATAATAAAGCTCTAGGCAAACATGTTGCAAACTTTGTAAACTCATAGGACGAGTGCCTTGCTTGAACCAAAGTGTTAAACCGCTGTTGACCTCTTTATCTCTCACCTTATACTCTTTGAATACCTCAGCCTCTTAGAAAGGCCACTAATGAAAAAAGGAATAATTCTTCACCGTGGTGCTTTTTGCCGTGCAACCATGCAATGAAACTTTCTTTGATACCAAAGGAAAATGTTTTTTTCCACTTTCTTGCTGACAAACCAAAGGTTCCCTCTTCTTTCCCCCAAAGCAGCTTGAGTCCCTCAGCCCAGACAGGCCGTGCATCGCTTTTACCAATTCCTCCAAATACCTCATAGTAATAAATCTTTAGGGTTATGTTGTATAGAGAGTCTATGTGATAAGGCAGAACTTACTAGTTTGATAATTGTTAAGGTTACTTAAAAAAAGCTTTATAATTCTTATTTATTTTGTAGGGGTTGTTTTGTTTGTATGTTCCTTTTATATCGTTTGGTTTGGGTTTCTTCTTTTTTCCTCTTTTTTTTGGCAGAACTTCTCTGTTATACTCAAGGAAGATCTTATTCCTGGGAATGTTTCAAAGTGGGTAAAGATTGCTGTTTGCAATGAATGCAAGAAAGGGAAACGTGGCTTCGATTTCTTTTGTTTCAGCTAGGATGCTTTGCGTTTGCTAGTCGATGTTCTTTTCACAGGGTAAAAAAAAGATATTCTCTGCTGTGATAAATGGTTCCTATTTTTTCTCTATAATGTGCTGTGACTTTAATTTAATTACATTTTGTATACGCTTATTTAATCACTGCTTTAATTTATGACTATGTAGTTTAAAAAAAAAAGAAAAAAATGTATATAGTAGATTCAAAAATGGCCAAAGCTTTATGTTACAATCTTTTCATTATTGATGCCGAGATGAACTGAAGGAGAGTGCTTCTCTTGACTGCAGGGTGTATCTTCAGCCTCGTCTTGGCATGCACTTCCACCCGTGTTACAAACACTGCCAGGTTATCCCCCGGGCCTCCTTTCTCCCCAACTTGTACATGCCAAAATGAGTGTTTCAAGGTAGTACTTTTGTCACTTAGAAAGCAGAAAGGCATTATTAGTGTGTTTTTCCTTTAATTTATTTGTCTTTTTCTAGAGAGGTTGCTTTGTGGGTGAGACCCACACATCCAAAGAATTTAAAAGTCGTTTAATGTTTAAAAGCACTGGCATTTGTGAGAGACTTTGCTGAGTTTTTGTTTTCCTTCGCCATTCGCACGGGTAGCGCAAGTAGCGGGCGTACGCCTTGGGAGAAAAGCTAACTTGAATTTGGAAGCCTTGCTCACGGAAAGGCCTTCGCCAGCCCCCCAGCACCCAGGGCTCTCCTCCCTGGAATGCACGGGGGATGTCCAAGGGGCAGCAGGCAACGGGACTGTGCCAGCCATCCTGGCTCAGTGAGTGCTCGAGGGCTTGGGCCACCGCTGTGTCCCTGCTCCCCAGCCAGGGCCCAGGCAGGGATGGGTCAGGTCCATGGATGCTGCTGAGTACCCTGGGAGCTGTGGCTGCATCCAGGCTCAGGGACCACGGGAGACCTCCGGTGCCCTGGCTGCCGGTGAGTGGGGAGGGACCTGTGCAGCATCCCTCTGGGACCAGTGCTGGTCTGCCCTGGGTGCCCGCAGCTCGAGGGAGGAAAAAGCAGTTTTGAGTTGAAAAGCAAAAAAAAAAAAAAAGGAGTAATGACAATGATAATTCTGCAAAGCTGATGATGGCATCATGGCACAGAAATAGGATGCCACTCACCTGTATTTTATTTGCGTAAAGAATAGGTTCTGTTTCAACTAAATGTTGTGTACTGACATGGTTTGTGATGGCTGTAAATATTTCCTTTCCCCACATGGTAGCTGAGCTCCAGGTGTACCTTGGTTTCCTTTGGGGAGATAGCAGAGGGGTTGAGGGAGGGAAGGACAAGGGCAGGATTTGAGCTTTTGGTCAGAAGTTACACTTTCTAGATACGTTTTTGTACTTCAAGTATTGAAATGGGACAATAAAGACGCTCTGAAATGCAGGATCATTAAATGGTCTGTTGGTAAGCATTGGCTAAATGTCTGTTTTTAATACCTAAATTAATGCCGTGCAATGAGTTATGCTTCACATAGAGGGGGGAGGCAAAGTATTAGTCTATAAATCCAGCATGAGCCGTCGAGCACTGGACAGAACCGTACTTAGGAAGACATGGTTTCTTTTCCTGTTCCGGTACTTTGATTTTTCACAGCCTGTTCTGCATTTATCTCATCCTCCCCATGGAACCACATTAGTTTTGCAGTCTGACCCAAACAACAGTATTAAATGAAAATAAACGTTAAACCATTGTGTTTTACTTGCTTTGGTAGTTGTCTTCATAACCCCTGCCCACAGTCCAGTCCCAGCTGAGCCGGAGCCTGGGTCCCCCTCGTTCCCCCCCCACCCCCGCCTCCCTGTTAGCTCCATCCGCTGCCGCGCAAAGAGGGCGCCAGAGACAATCACAGGTCCCAGATCCGTAGAGGTAGGAATTCTTCCAAGAGCAAGAGGGAGTTGTTCTTCCAGAGCAATGAAACAAAACCAAAAGAGAAAAAAAAAAATAAAAAAAATAAAAAAAAAGAAATAAAGAAACCAAGCGAAGATTTTGATAAACGACGTTGCTGTCATTTTTAGTTTGCCCATTAGGAAGCAGTAGTAGTTTATGCGTTGCATCTGCATTTCAGACTAAGTGATTATTGTACCTAATTACGGTTGATTGCTGATATTTCCTCAATCTCTCTCTCTTAGTCAAGCGCTTCTTCTTCTGTATTTTTGTGTGTAGCGATGACAAGTGTAATGCGCTAGGCATTATTCTGGTTTGGTTATGAGTATCTCCTGTACTGCGTTAAGATTTCCTTCAGTTACTTTTTTTAAGCTTTGCTACTGTTCTCACTTTATGCCGTGCAATATCATCTGCTGTGTTTGCTAAGCAAAGAAAAAAAAAGAGAAAAAACAACAAAAAAAGGAAAAAAAAAGGAAAAAGATTAAAAAAAAAAAGAAAAAAGCAAGTGATGATGTCATCATGCTTTTCAGTGTTACAATGTTTCAGCGTTACAATGTTTCAGCGTTTATGTAGTCACAAAAATGTAGTAAATAAAAGGTTGGATTTTCCAGCACTTTAAATTTAGACATTTCTTGCCTTCTTTTGTTTCTCCATGTACAGCTCTCCCCAGGGGGTCATGGGAGAGGGGCACAAACCAGCACCCTGGCTTCATGGGGCTCTGTCTTCTTCCCTGCTTCCATTCATGCTGAGTTCTGCAGCCCCCACCCCAGCTCCCGCCACGCTCCAGGGCAGCGCGTGCCGCGTGTGGAAAGGGGAGTGCAGTGGAAAGGGGAGTGCGGCTCACATCAGGTGCATTTCTCTAATTGAGGGGGGAAAAAAACATTAAGAAAATAAGTGAAGCAAATAATGTCGGTTTCCTTTGTACCGTGCTAGGGTACGGATGGCGCCAAACTAATTCACTGAGGTGTTTCCTTTTGTGTGATGGAGTCCACCTCAGGCCACAAGGATCAATATTTAATTGTTTAAAGGGATATTGTATTCCTTTCCTGTCACTGTTGTTAATGCCTCCGCACTCTGTAATCCCACGGGGTCTTTTCCCGGGGATCTGATCAGAGAGATTACCCATCACTCGGGAGTGGTGGGAGGAGGGTCCCCAGCCGTAAAAGATTCAGCAATGCATTGAACCGCTTTCTCTCTATCTCCTAATGAAGTGATGGAGCGTGTGCCACAAAATTTAACAGGGTTTTGTGGCAAATCAGGTTGTGCTGCTGAGAGGAGGATTAAACCTTCATCTTTGTCCCATAAATCATGGCATCAGCTACATTTATTCTGATGGATGGTCTGGACTCTACTGACAATATTTTATCTCTGGAAGCGCCTGCAGCTTCTGCCCTGACGTGCAATTTCTTTTTACTGCTAAGCTGAGGGAGGCACTGAGCGCATCCGTTCAGAGGGCTCCCCTTGGGCTTGGTATCCCAAGACCGCACCAGAAACCAAAGCATCACCAGCAACCCACATCCAGGGCAAGAACAAAAGCTAAGGGGAGATGGGAAGCCAGGAATGTCCTTTGTCCACAGGAGGGCCTGCGGGATTTGCTCTCTGTAGCGTAATTTAGGCCAAGCCTGGGAATATCTGGCACTCAGTCATGTTGGTAGCTCTGTGGGGTGGTGCTGGCCAGGGCCACAGTGCAAAGTGAGGGCTCCAGCATACCCTACTGTGTGCAGCACCCTCACCCAGGGAAGAAAAACACCTCCAGGGACACAGCAAAGTGCTTTTTTCTAGACAAAGTGATATGGAGATGCCACAGGGGTTGAAGCCCATTGGGCAGCTGTGGGGACCATTCTCCAGGCCTGGCTCAGCTGCAGCAGGTCCCTGGCAGTGACCTCTCTCTTCACCTCCCATCCCATATTTCCCTCTCATTTGAGTGAGGAAGAAAGCAGTGGTGGCTGGGTGCTGCCTTCACCCACTTACGTGGCATAAGGCCCATCGTGGTGGCAGCACAGGGTGATGCATCAGCTGCAGCCCATTTGCAGGTGATCAACCCAGGCCAATAAAGCTGCCAGGGATGGGCTGTGGCCCCCTCAGGAAGGCGGGCTGGCATGTTTGGAGGGAAATATGGGCTGCTTTGTGCTCGGAGTTAAGGTGTTCAGGGATCTGTGTTTGGATGTGCAGGGCAGTGGCTCAGGTGCCCTGTGTGAATGGACCAGTGCCGCTGTCAACCTTATAAATTAACAGTAAGTGCTAAAAGCCTAAAGTAGGAGGAAGGCCAGTGAGGCAGGCGGGGGGGGGGGGTGGAGGAGGGAGGTGCTGCCTGCGGGAATGGGAGCCACAGCAGGGAACACCCCTGTGGGGAGGGGGCTCCCGGCAGGTACCAGGACAAGGGATGGCTCTGCTGGGGCTGCCCGAAGGCCAGGGCTGTGCCGGGACAAGCCTTGAGCAGTTTTCTCCCCACTGGGGCACCGGTGCGGGAAGAGGAGCTGCAGAGCACCCAGTGTCTGGGTGGGCAGCTGGGCTGCTGCTTTCCCTGGGCGACAGTCGCTGCAGGATGGAGACAGCAATACCGCACCCGTGTGTCTGGGAGCCGGGTACTGTTAACTGATGTACAGGAAAAAGCCTTTTGTAAAAACCTGCTTGTTCATCAAGCAAAATAATCTCCTGTGCAAGGGAGGTGTCTGGAGTTTGATTCTCAGTTATGCTTTTGGTACTAACAATCACTTTAGGTTAAAGATGATCCGGAGGAAGAATTAATCCTTGTTATCAGCTTCATTAGGAAGAACTACTGCAATGCAAAATATAAATGTCTCATGTGAATGAACTCCACAGTGGCTACGGACACATAAATCACATGAAGCTCAGGACAGCAACTCAAAAGGGCTGGTAGCAGGAAGAGTACAGAGGTGAGCTGTTGCTGTGTGCTTTGTCCTGGGCACCCAATGTTGTCCCTCTGGTCACACAGAAGGACCTTTAGTCTGACAGATGGTGGCTACTCTTTTGTTCTGGTATCCTTATGAACAAAGCACAGCCCAAAACTTAGCAGCTGTGTCCCCAGAGCAACACTGCTTAGCCCAGATTTGTCTGCACAGGTAGGCAGGGCTGCTTGAAAGAGCTGCTGTAAGGTGTATGAGAAGGTTAATGAGTCCTTCCCTGTAAGGGTGAAAAGGTTTTCAGGTGTTTGAAAATAGAAGCAGGATCTAAACTGGCAGTGAGTAGCCAAGCTACATCACTTTGTGACCATGGGTAAAGGTTCTGCATCTCTGATGTCACTTGCAGGTTTGGGCTCCTGGCAATCTTCTTGCCAACTCATAGAACTGCACTTAAGTTTTTCTTTTGGTGGACAAGGATGGTGATTTGAACATGTGCTGGGCACAAAGTCCTATGGCTTAGAGTACTGTGACTCACCCCTGCTGTGCCTGGCACAGGTAGCAAAAGGTAGCAAAGCATCCTTTCCAAATTTGCCAGTGGTTGGTCTGTGAGGAGCAGGGACTGTAAGGGAAAAGGAAGGCCAATGGCAGGACGCTGCATGAGCCCCCTGCCCTGAAGCGGTGACTCCTGCAAAGGGCTGCGGGCAAGCAGGGAGCAGCCGCCTCTCCCCTGGCAGCGTGTGCTGCCTGGGGTGACTTGGCTACAGAAGCAACTGTGCTCATCACAGATGTCCCCAGCGATGCGGGGACAAGGCCAGTGAATTACTCAAATTACTTGAATCTCCCCAGCGGTGTGCAGAGATTCAATCTTGGCATGGCATTAAATCAAGCCAGTGACATAGATCAAAGGATACTGCTTTAATCACCTCGTTAGGCCACAGACATCATTAGTTACTCATTATGATGTGTTGATACCAGCATTCTCCCTAACACAGTTATGTACAGTCGCTATCAGACATTTTTCTCATCAAATGGGATGTCAATACCTTAACATCTTAATGAGTTACAGTCAATATCCATTGCAATAAAGCTCGTGTTTTCTCGTGATTTCATCTACCCTTAGGGTTTTGATTAAAATGGCTGCTTTTTCCAGGTAATTGAGGAACTATGGAAATTCCACATAGGAACTAGCACATGCTGCTACACAGGCTCCAAAAATCTTAGATTGGTTCCAAGTGCTTTAGAGACTACAAGGTAGTTTGCTATTTTAATATAGATTTTTGGGTACTGTTGCTCAATTCTGCTTTCCCAATCACTGGTAAAACAATTTTAGCATCAAAGAAAGTAATTAAAATATTCAAGAGTGTATTGGAAAAATGTTACAAGCCAGTCATTGGTTTGCAAATGTCTAAGAATGCGAACAAGTGCTGCTGCCAGGTGAGCACGGGTTCAGATGAAGGTTTTCTGATTTACTGCATTGGCAAAATATTAAACCATTTGCAGGAACATGAAAGCAGCCAAAACAAGCTGCAGTATTATTTCAGGCTCAGGTTTGGCAAGTGGAAGTGTGCACAAGTCCCCAGTTTTCCAAGTTAGGGATAAGGAAGCAACTATTTAGGCAAAGCAGACTTTTTGCCCAGTGAACTGTGAGGGACCTTGTCAGTATAGTGGGAAGGAGAAGCCCTGAAGGTTCCCCAGCTCACTGACCACCTCATAGTTTTCCTCTGAGGAAAACGTTAATGCATCACCAACAGAAAGAAATCAAGTATTGAAAGGAAGAGGAAGCAGTAGCAGCCATCCACCGGAACTGACCTGTTGCTCCATGGCTGTCTCCTACCCAGCTGGACAAAGTCAGGTACCAAATAAGACTGTCCCCACAAGTGGTTTGCACTTCATACAGGCTGTGAGGTCAGTTCTGCCTGCCTGGTCCATACCGTTTCTTGGTCCTGTGTTAGTCCCTATTGCACTCCTGCATAGCTCTTGGTGAAGCAGTAAGGTTGGACTCTCATTCCCTAGCCTTCCTTTCCCAAGCTGGCTGCAGCCACACTCGTTGCTGGCACTCCATGGACTATTTTCACAGTCTCTCCCTTATTAAACTTGGGAGAAAACCATTTGATTTTTTTGAGTGCTGGTGTGACAGCTTTGCAGAGGAAGCTCTTGCTAGATGCTTGATGTGCATCCACTCCAGCTCACCACTGCTACATACTAATGCCAATCCTTCTCCCAGATACCACCAAGTGAGCTCTGACATCTAATACATCACTAGTAGCAGTTCCTAAATATTTTCTCCCAGGTGGACTTCTTTCCATGTGTAATCAGGGATTTACATATATGAAAATTTATAGATTATGGCATACTTACACATAAACATCCTACTGTGTGTAAGATCTTCCATTGCCACAACTGTTCTTCTCCTAGCTCTGGGTTTTTAACTCTTGACAGCAGCTGCAGCTTTGCTGCTGCGTTCTCTGGGCAAATCCATGGGGCTTACACCAAGTACCTTTTCTTCCCTCCAACTCTGATGTGTGCAGGGCCATTTCTGCTGTGTGATCTCTTCATGCTCTTCCATGTCCTCTGCAGCCAGGATGCCCTCGGTGTTGCCTTGCCTGCTCCTTTCAACCTTGTCTGCCTGGACTGCAGGGACAGAGAAGGATGTGGGCTCAGCCCTGGGAGCAGTCCTGCCCCTAACAGGTAGGAGGGAGGTGTCTCTGTTGGTTATCAAAGACCTTTGGTTTGTCACACGTTACCTGCTCAGTCCTCCTCTCCTTCAGCCTTCTGGAGACATTGTCCATATGGATCTGGGGAGCTTTTCTGTGCCAATTCAGAGTTTAGCTACCTCAGCAGCTCAGTGCACTCCTAAGTGTGCCAGAAAGAATGAACAGAAACAGCATCCCAGTGTGTCACACACTGGGCAGCATCCCAGGGTGTCAAGGGAAAGACCAAGGCCTCCAGCCTTGAGACTGAAGGATAGTACTGCCAGAGTGCTGCATATCCATTGCACCTCCCAGCCTCATTGCAGTGTATGGATCAAAATCTGCTGAGGGATGCCTCTCCAAATTATGTCACGTGAAGGGCTCATACCAAATGGGTGAGCATGAGCTTTAACCAGTGGCAAAACCATCCACCTGTATTTTCAATCCCCCTGGCCCTTCTCAATCCTCTGCTGTTCCTTTGGGTGGCACCTGAGGCAAGCAGGGGCAGAGCTCTGCCTGCAGCCCAGAGCACCCCTCTCCTGCCTCGCTGCAACCCTTTAGCTACAGCCCTCTGTGAGAAACCCTGGCTCCATGAAGATCCCCATTTGTCTGTGTTTTGACCTCTGACTCTTTATAAAATGTGCAAGTATATTTCTAAAATAACAGTTGCTTTAGTAATTTCTTTTTAAACAAACATCCGTGATATTTGACACTTCTCCTTATGACAGACCCGGGGCTGCAGTTTGGGACTCTAAGGCCACATTTGAACTGCTTTTTTATTTTAAAAGCCCTCTTTTATACAGGAAAAGCCAGCAGAGGTTTCCTGGATCTAATTTAAATCCTGGATTGGACATTACTGTTTATGGTAGTGAAAAAATGTGTGGTTGCTGGATTCACCAGAATAAGAGAAAATTTGTCATATTCTTAGCAGTCACTGAAAATAGCAAATGAGCCGTTGTGATTCACATTGGAAAGCACCAGCCCTTTCTGCTGTTCAGCTCGGCAGCCTGGAAAGGGCGAGACCCTGACACAGCCCAGCCATGCTGGGAATGGGCAGGCACCTTAGGGAGCACATGGCTCAGGTGCTTTGGGGAAACCCTTCACAGAGCTGCCTGTATTGCCCTGGCCAGTACACCCCTGATCCATGGAGTATATGAGGATATACAAAGTATCTGGAGTTTTGCAGAAGAGCGTGGCCCCAAGTAATGCACATGAAGGTTAGTGTCATGCTGAAAAGCATATGGAGTCGCCACCCCAAACCCATGGTTCATCTTCAGGGCATCACAACCCAAAACCTAGGGGCCTCCTCAGAACCTCCTCTGAGAGCCAGGCTTGAACTCTTTCATGTACAAGTGGTTTCTGGTGATCTGTCCTCTTGTCCTTGGAGAATTACACGCTGTGGTAAGGGAGTGTGAAGTTACCAGCAGAGCTGATTTCTCCTGTTATCCAACTTGTCTGGATCACTGGAGTCCCAGAGTGAATAAACAAGATAAGTAATCTTCTTGGGAAATACTCTGGATGAAAGCCCAAAGGAAAAATGTGGTTTGAAGTGTTCCCTTACACAACAAGGAAAAACCTTCATCATCCCTTTTTGTGCAGAACTGGCCCCTTTGGTTGGATGGCTTTGCAAAGGTACTGGGAGACTTTGCATATTTGTTTTGGATAGGAACATGCAGATGATGTGCATGTAACAATGGAGATAGAAACAGCAAAGGTGCCTGGGGAAGCACAAATATTCAGAGTAGTGAGGAGATGTGAGATGCTTTCCAAACAGAAAAGGCTTCTATGCTTGGGGATGCAAAATGTGATGACAGCCCAACAGCTGCCCTGGAGGGTGAAGCTGACCCCTGGATTGGGAGCAGGTCCATCTACCAGCCTTACTTCCCAGCCTGCCACCAGCTCCTCCTGGGAAGGCAAAGGGATGTGTGAAGGAGATGGCTGTGCGGGGCCGGGAGTGGAGCTGGGGCAGCATCTGCCTGTGAGTGGCTCAAATAGGCACTGAATCTCAAGTGTAAGATGCAAGGGATGGGCTGTAGCCACAGCCCCAGCTCTGCCAGAGAGCTTGGAAAAGGGGTTGGATGTGGATCGGATGTTTTATCAGACTCCTCTTAGTAATACCTGGTATGATCCAAACTCCTCTGATCCAGATATGGAAACTTTGCAATGAGTTTATATCCCTAACAATGAGCCTATATTCTATTTCTATTCAGAAGTCTCACAAAATTAACCTTTCCCTAAAGCTTCACCAGCTAGAAGTGCACAAGTAGAACTGTACTTTCACTTGGGAGGATACTTCAATCTCTTGTGCTTATTGTGAAAATCAAAGAAATCTCATGATGGTAAGCACTAAAAACTTCAGAACCAGCAAGCACATAAAACATTCCAAATACCATCACCTGTAGCTCTTTTTCATTGAAAATTAATGTTGTGAGGTTTGAGGGTTTACTTCCTGGTGTTAATATTTGGATTTAGTTATAGTTTTCTCAAGCTGGTGGAGTTTGCCTGCACCTCTGGAGGGGGAAATTAGTGGCAACATTGACTGCCACTAATCAGGCTCAATTCCAACTAACTTCAGTGGGCTTTCTATCAGCTGGGTATTGGTGGCTCTTTCAGCTCCACTCACTTCTAAAGGAGGTCTACCTATGGCAATCAGCTCATGAAAAGTGTCATCCACAACTGACAAATTATATGTTCCTTATCTTTTTAATTAGAGTATATACAATGTTAGTAACGACATATTATGTATGTATTAATTTGAAAGGGTTGCTTTGGTGTCAGGCTTGCTTATGTGGGGTCATCAGTATGAGGATATGTATTAAAAAAAGATTTAAAATCCCTGAAGAGTTATACAGCCCTGCTTTTTCATAGCACTACACATTAGAAGGCTCTAAGTTGCTCCTCTCCTAAGCTTCACTTTTTTTCTTCTACATTGCACCTCACTTGACAAACACTAAATTGCAAGAACCCACATGCAATAAGGGATAGAAAAGTTTATTTGGCTGTTACTGTGGTCATTGGTGTGATGAAAAATAGAATGACAGCATCTGAAATGCTGAGGGAACCCTCAGCTTTCATCTAGGGATAGGCTCCCTCATCATCATGCTCCTGAACATGAGGTTTATCTCATATTCAGGGGCATGTGCTCATGTAATCCTCTACTGACATCACATTAGCATTCAGTCCCTTTTTCCTGAGCTTAGCGTTCATTTGGGAACCTGGATGTTTCTTTCACATTGTTTGTTGTAGCCTCACTGTGCCCTGCAAGAAAAATATTGTCTCTGATCCAGGAAGGCACTACTGGGGGAGTGCAGGTCCTTCATGAGGTGCATCACAGACAGGCGACGCTTTGGGGCTGGGGCAGCCTCATGTGTGCCAGCAGAATAAAGCCCCGGTTTGGGCAGATGTTTCTAGGTATTTCTAGGAAAGCAGTGTTATGCTGGAAGCCTACCCTTAGGAAAGAGGGAGTAAATAGGACACACGTGATACTTGGATCTAAGTTTACTGCCAGTTTTGTAAGGATTTCAGCGCGGAAGTGCTGTGTGGTTAGGTATGGAGCAGCTGCCACAAGCCCTCTGTCTCAGAGTACCAGCCCTAACTAAACCCCAAGATCCCATTTGAACTTTCAGCAGCCAAACTGGAGATGGAAAGGCATATCAGTGTGATGAGAGGTAAGCTAGGCAGACCTGGGAAAAACAGGATTGAAGAAAGACACCAAAGAGCAGGTTTGAGACACGACAGCTGCCTCTGAGCTGTGGTAGGATGTCGTGGCAGGGCTGTGATTAGATCTAAACAGAGCTGAGCTGTGTTCAGCGTCCTGCTGCACGGGGTTTTAACCAGAGACAGAAACCTGAATCATCAAAAATGTTCACAGACCAGAAATACCACTGTATGCTGACGTGTTCAAGCATCTCATATCAATGTGCTTTATCAAAACAGTGCAGCCTGGCATTCTGAACACCAAACTGTCCAACAGTAAGCCACACTTCCCCATTGCAGCACACTGACAAGCAGCAGTCACAAAGGTTTTGGTGTCCTGCACAGCCCTGCAAACCAGGTTTCTTGCTGGCACATTACCTTCCACAACTCATCCAGGCTCAGGTGATAACACACCACACAGGTGAGACTTGAAGATGTGACCTTATTTTTAGGGAAAACAGCATACAAAAACCAGTCTTTGTTGTTAAAGTGTGAGTGGTGGGGAACCTGTGGTGTTTTCCCAGCTGCAGCCTAAATTGGCAGTGTAGTTACAGCATCTTTCTTAGGCACTATTCCAGCAGAACACTTGAGTATGTGCTTAATTAAATCATGTGAGAAGTTTAAAGAGCTTGAAAGCACGCAGCTAAATGCTTTGTTTGGGACTTAATGCCTCAGTTTCTCTTCTCCAACATAGAGAAAGAAATATTTACTTCCCATACAGGGTGCTGACAAGTTTAATTCAATCTTACTTGTAAAGTGCCTTGTGGGCCTAAGAGAAAAGGTGCTATAAAAATCAGAATATTATTCTACACTCCTTGGCAAGACAGCACTTAGTTTTATATATTATCCTGCTGGTGATACATCTCCCTCTGGCTGACAGCAGAAGCAGATAATATATATAAACCAAAAGAGGCCGTTTAGAAGGCTTGTGCTTCAAGTAATGTGTAAACACCTGATGACAAATCCGAATCTGAAAAGATGGAAAAGGCAGTGGGTTTAATGGGTTTTAACGCAAAAGCGCGCATGTGTTTGAACTCAGAGCAGCAAAGGGAAAAGGGCTGTTTCTCCAGTAATGTATTTTTTATTCCTCATTCTTTTTTATAGGCTTTGCTATTAATTTTTCAGATTTTCTGGTCTTTTACAAGTTAGCAAACTGTACTGCAACACTTGTATTTCAGATTTTCCTGACTGGATTGAAAAGAACCTGGAACCGACCTCAGAGGCAGCTGGAGTTAAGTGAAGTCAATGGAACTGCTGCCAAGGAGAGGGTTGCGAGTGCAGCCAGCATGGGAAAGGTTGTGACAGGGTTGTTTTGGGGTTTTGTTTTTGGTTGGTGGGGTTTGGGGTGGGGGGTGAGGTGGTTTTTTTAGTTGTTTTCTTTGTTTTTTGAAAATCCACAATATAATTTAAAACAACTTTCTAATTGTGATTCTGCATTTATCCATGTTGACAATACTGTTGAGGACAGAGTATCCCAAGCAACACACATTTTTCCTAAGGTTCACTGGCGTTTTAGACATGTTTAATACCCTGTCTTTTCATGCAATGAAATACAAGTGTACTGTAATGACTGCTCCTTTGCCAAAAGTGAGTGAGTGTAGCTGCAAACTATCTCCTCAGATTAAAATAACCAATTGACTAAAAATGTGAAGCTCCTCACCAGTGGTTACTGTGAACCCTCATTTCCTGCCTATATTTCTGCACTCTGTATTCTGACTGACCTTAATGGTTTTTCTTATTTTTGTCTTCTTTCAATGACAAATGATACTTACGCTACCACATCGCAAACACCAAGAATCACAGCTACTCATTTATTTTTAACATTCACTGTGTATTTCGTTTGCAGTATGATCAGGATGGAAATGAGTTTTAATAAATTTCTTGACTACATGACAAATAGTGAATAATGAGTGGTGTTTTTTTTTTAATTAGTATTATTTTTTAAAGTATGAACATTGCAGCTCCCCTCCCTGTATATGTTTCTGCCCTGCCTTTCCAGGATACAACCTCTATGGAAACGTTTCCTCCTCTGTGCCTGCTGCAAGTGGCACACAATGGATCGTCATTATTCAACAGAGACTCTAAGTGCCATGAAAAAGAAATAATTAAACTACAACTATTTCAGTAGGTAAATACTGCCTTTCTCACTCCTGTGAATAAAGCAGCCAGTGTTCCACTTCTGGCAATCTCCTCTGGGGGTTCAGCCTCCTTGAAGACCTCTGGCATGAAACCTTAACGTCCTGACAAAGCTGTTTGTCACCCCCCAGGACTGTCCTGGGGCAAAGGGGAAGGTGTCAGTTGGGATATGAGTCCCCACCATCTGCTCTGGCTATTAGTGGAGGAAGTTTATAATCAAACTACATGTCCGTCATCCTCATGTAGAGCTACAGTTTCTATGTGTGCTAGGCAGGTGTTCAGTTTCTACTCCCCCCATGATTTTTCTTTAGTTCAGGTAAGTTTGGTTTTATGATAGCTGACACGGTACATGGCCTGGGAGTTTCGCACAAATACTTTAGGAGGAGGAAGTGCTGTTTAACTTCCGTTGAAAGAGAGAAGAAATGCACACCTGCATACCCAGGATTCTCCAACTCCACAGCTGGGAGGTCAGTGCTGCCCTTGGCAGTTCCTAGCAACTGTGGGTAAGGACAGAGCGTGGGGGATCAGTGAGGACCCTGGGTTTGAGGGTCAACTGGTAATGGCTTTAAACTGAAAGAGGTAGATTTAGACTAGATATTGGGAAGAAATTATTTACTATGAGGGCAGTGAGGCACTGGCACAGTGAAGCTATGGCTGGCCCATTCCTGGCAGTGTTCAAAGCCAGGTTGGAGAAATCAGGTCTAGTGGAAGGTGCCCCTGCCCATGGCAGGCGGTTGGAACTGGATGAGCTTTAATGTCCTTTCCAACCCAAATCATTCTGTTCTATGATCTATTACTTAGTGTGTTTTCCCCTTGTTTCTGATGCGATGCCCATTTTGCTCTTTGTAACTACTAAAAATATATATTCACTCATCCCAGGAAGCATGAGGGAATCTGGGTTTTCTCTTCGACATAAACTGTAGGTTCTGTGCATGCTGTGGCAGCTCAAGTGCTTTATTTTAGAAATAATTTTCAGGGTACTGCTTTGCTAGATAATACATAATAAAAAAGCACCCATGGTGCTTTTGGTGTTTGAGTAATGATGCAAAAAAGGCCAACACCTCAATTTGAATGTAATTTCTAAATCACTGAATTTGAACTTTCTGATGAAAGTTGTTTGAGGGAGGGGCAGGTTATGTCAATTAAAACGTGTGGCTCTGGCTTGTGTAAGGAGCGCGGGTTTAATCCCTGCTAATGCTGTACAAGTATTGTTGATCCAATGTTATACAACCACCTGGAAATGCTGCCAGGTAAAGCTTTTGGGTGCCTATTGTTCAGCTGGAGGAGACTGTTATCAGAAGGGGAAGTTCTGCAGTGCAAACAAGGAACAGTGCTTGAAACCTGCAGAGGGAAATGGGAACAGGAGCAGCCAGGTAGCAGCCAGTGAGTACGTGGCATAATGTGAGTGGTGGTGGTGGTAGGGTTCACAGATGCTCTGGCAGCAACTTCAGTGCTGAGCTGCCACTGTGTCCATGCAAGCCTGGCTCACCTCTGCTGTGCATGACTGACTGCACTTTGGCAACGGATGGCTGTCACCAGGGCAAGTTTCCATTGCAATGAGCAGCTGGCTTCCAGTTTTTCAGACATAAGGGAGGTGAATGCAGAAGATTCATAACAAAGCAGTGATGAAGAATCAGTGCTACAGTGACCAGATCCATGGAGGAAGCAGATGAAATGACTTCACGCAGTTTATGGCAGGAAGGTATCTGCCATAAGTTAGAGTAACCCTAAGGATGCTGCCTCCTAAGGCAGTTCAGAGCAGAGGAGCTCTGTGAATGTATCCTCTTCCCTGCTCCCAACTCAGTCCCTTTCACAAGCAATTTATCTATTTATTTAAAGAAGGGAGGAAAAAGGAAAAAAAAAACAACAAACAAACAAAAAAGGATTGAAAGTCTTGGTATGATGGATGTTTCATTTGCCAAGGAAAAATCTGAAAGCATTAAATGTGCAAAGTGATTGTCTTGGTGAAGCAAAAGTGAGGAATGGCCTTAAATGGGCCATGTATTTCTTGCTGGAGCTTTATTGCTGACAGCTGAGGACAGTTTGCTACTGGCTCTGGACAGTGGAAAAAGTCATCTCAGTGGCAGCAAATAAACAGGGGGAAAAGCCTCCCGTTCCTTAAAATCAGATCAAGGAAATGGCCTCTTAGCATGATGGGTTGTGACTAGGCCCTGTTTTTGAAATGTGATCTGTGTGTGCAAATCCCACACAGATTGGATGCCAAACTGCAGCGCTTCTTTGACATTTCAGTTGAGAAGGAGAACAAATGTGTTTTGTTCTCATCTTTTTTTTTTTTTTTTTAAGCAAAAACAATTAACTTTGAAACAAGGGCTTTGATAGCTGTCTCACAACGTCAGCTTTACATTGATGTAATTCTATAGAATGGTGGAATCACTGCTGATTTGCACTGGTGTAAGCAGGAGAACAATTGGGCTCTGTGTCTTCCAGACAGTGAAGCTGCTTATGTTTTGTGCAAAGAAAAGAACTCAGTTAAACAACTTAAAAGGAAAATAAATTAACCAAGAAATCCAGAAGGAGCCAAAAGCAATATAAGCGCAGATACAGCTACAATGTTCTAACTGTATCACTAGTTTAAAAAAGATACCTAACCTAATTAAGTAAAGATTGATGTTGCTATAAATATGTACAGTGATCTCTCTAACTTTCAAGTTTTAATTGACAAAGATAAGCTATTTCATAACTTACTGCAATTTTTATTTTTTAGTGTACATACTGTACTTTATTACCTTTGTTTGAGACCCGACCCTTGAACAAATGTCAGCTTCCCTTCCCCTTCAAATGTTATACAACACAAGAATAAATCAACCATAGGATTACAATTACAATTGATCTGGTGTGAGAGTAGCAAAGAAAGCACTACCCAATATAGCCTGAATTGAAATCCTACCTCCCTCTGTATGAAGGGAAGTTGACCTTTGTATATGGGCCAAGGATTTCACCACTGATGGCATTTGCCAGGCATGGATATTTTTTCATTTATAATTTTTACACAGTGAAGTACAATCAGGCCATTCAGTGCTCAGCTTTTAATTCTCTCTCTTTTTTTTTTTTTTCTCTAGTTGCTATTATGCTCTCACTTTTAGAGAATGCCAGGGTCCTGAAAATAAATTGTTTTGGTTTAGGTACAGTAAAGCTTACAAACACTATGCTTGGGGTGAGACATGTAGGCTGGGTCTTTCTCTGGGGAATTTTGGTGTATGAAGAGAGTGGAGCTGGGCCCAGGACTGCTATTAGTGACCCTGCCAACAAGTGAGGTAAGCCACGGCATTCTTCACTATGGACTATACAATTACAGGACAGCAGCTAATGACTGAAATTTTAGGGAATACTTTTTTAGTCTAAAAAAGGTAAAAAAAGAGCAAAAGTTGGGCACCAATGAAACCTGAATCTGGGTAATTTTCATATTTCTGTATTGAAAAATCAGTCCTGATGACTATGTGCAACCCATTCTGTTCAGTGCTATTTCCATTTTTACTATTAATATGTAGTATATGTCACTAAATGGCCATCAATGTATTAGAAGGGCTTTGGCTAACAACTATGCAATTAAAATGTTTAGAACAAGGCCATTGCAGTTTTGCAATAGCTCTGGCATTTACCTAATAAACCCCAACTCACGGCTTTAGTAAATGATAGGCAACTTCTCTTGTAAACCATGCATGTGGTTACATTAAGCATTGCCCTGTATTTAACGTGCTACTCTCCTGCCCTACTCTCTCATAAGTGTAGTAGGAGCTGTGGTATTAATTTAGCCTGGGTGGAACTATAGGCAGGACGACTTGTTCCAGCAAAGTAATCACTTCTCTACATAAATGAATTATCCTTTTCATGTACAGTGCCTGTGGAAAGTTGCGTGTAATTTCAATACACGTGGCAGTGTGGCTGTAGTAATTCTCTAATGTGTTGTGAATGTGCTCACTGTCTCAGTTCTCTGAGGTGCAGCAGCTATACTTGCAAGGTGAGATTTACAAGATGGCCCTTTGGAAGGATGCTGGCTCTGCTTTACCTGTGGAAGTGGTGGACTGTATGAATTGTATGAAAAGACATGCTGGACTCTTCTGTGAAATGTGTGCTAATGTGACAGAGGATAAGCACTGCCTGAAACTGAGAAGTCTGAAGATCTGCCTGAGAGGCCGAACAGGATGGCAAATCTGCAGCCAGCCATGCAGGAAAACTGGGCAAAAGGTGGCTGTGGTACAAACTTCATATGAGGAGCCAGTAGCAGTGGAAGTATGTGTGGGCAAAGGCTCTGGATGTTGAGTCCTGCCTTAAATGAGAGCTGCCTGAGCTGGGAGGAGCTGGCTGCGATGTGCCACCAACTTGTTGGTACAGTGCTAAACTATGACCCAGCTGCTGTGATAGGGAAAGTAAACAGGGCTGGCGGAGGCATCAGAAGTTGAACTTCACGAACTCCTACCAGATGGAGTTACACCAGCAATTAATTCAGTGCAATTAGTTGCACAGAACTGTGTTGGCAATTATTGCATGATAGATCAAACCACTGGCAATAGCAAAACAGCATTGCAAAACTCTAAATATCTTTCCAAGTGTTATGCGCTCTCTTTCCAATGAAATTAACAGAAATAATATAAAAGGGGTGCTTGGATTCCTGTTGGATCACTGCAATGAGTAATTGGGGTACAGCTTCTGGATATACCTGCTCAAAAGTAAACTGAGAGTGCTGAGAGGCGAGAGATGACCTAGACTGGAAACAGTTCTTGTGTTTCTATTTTCTCAAAGCCTTCTACTGTTGGCCACATCTTGCTGTTTCTCTTGGCAAACATACATCTCTAGCTTCTGTTCAGGGAATGCCAGGGCTTGCTGTTGCTACAAAACCTTTCATTATAATCTGTAAACCTATATATTTTCTGATTAATGTTTCCATCAAGCTTAGTACTGGGTAAACATTGTGTAATGTTAGCATTCATCAGTGAACCTGCACAATCCCCTTGAAAAGATACTGAAAAAAAAACCCAACCAAAACTGCTTCCAGTCTGGAATGAATATTACAGCCAAAGAAAAGATCTTATATGTAAAAGAGAATAATTTCTCTCTTTCAGAAATTAGTGATCTATTCGCAAGTAGATAGTTTACTTTTTAGTGCATTATTGTCTGATTAGTCAGGTGTTGATGCAACGAAACTTAACAGTTGTGATCTTACTGAGTAGGTATCTTCTTAGATTGGCATTTATAGAAAACAGGTGGTTATTCTTCTTGTAAAGCAGAACCTTTATGCGCCTATCTTCATAATTCTATATTCATTACCACCAGCCACCACTTCAGATGAGACAGCACTGTTCTCTTTTGGAACTGGCATCTAATTACACATCACAGATTGGTTACTAAAGAAGTATAAAAGGTTTATGAAACGTCATTTTAAGAGTTGCTCCAAACAGAGATCATACAAGTTACTGTTTCCAAAGCAAATTGTGGAAATGTAGGATGGGCTTAATTTCTGTTGGCAAGAAGGCCTGACTGCTAGACCTCAGTCTCTGGAAGAGTAGCAAAGAAGAGATTCCACCCTGAGAGGTGCTAAGCTCCTGTTGCTGCTGCCAGAATAGTGAAGAAGGCACAAGCCATTCCATGTGACCCAGGGAACTTGAGCAGGAGCACAGGACAGGGGCCCGGTTGCTTTCAACTAAAGGAATCTCCTGTATCTAAACAAGGTTTAGCAACAAAGTGTCGAATACAGGAAATTATTTCTGGTGAGGAAGATAAACTTTCCACTGTTCTCATAATTCCCTCTCAACTTAGTCTTGGCTGTGTCGCCAGTGAGAAAGTACTATTTGGAACATAAAGCAATTTGAGAGCACACATGGAGGGGATGTTGTTTTACTAATTTCAAAAAGCGGATTTAGAAAGTAAGCACATGACAATAGCTATATAGTTTTTACTTTTAAGGCCAATTAGTAGTGAAGTTAAGCAATAGAGGGGTTTGGTAGGAGCTGCATGAAAAGATAAATCCGTGTAAGTTAGCAAACACAAGGGTCTAACACCTGTTGATTTACATTATGTGTATTTACTCTCTTCAAAATATTTAGCTCCAGGACCATGGCTTGTGCATTTCAAAGAAAGAAAACTAAAATCCTGCTGTTTCTACTGTTATTTTTCCCATCTTGCCAGACTTTCATATGACAGTCTGTGCTTGGGGACTCAAAACAAAAAGATGAGATTAATTTACTTTCCTCTCTTTGATCCTGAGGCAAGTCCCAAATGTAACAGAGAGGCTTAAAGGCTGTTCAGAATTATGCTGGTGAGAAGCTCTGTGGAGGAATTGGAGATGAACAGAGAACAAAACCTCCTCTGTGGCTCCCACCACCAAAGTCTTCTTGCCTCTCAGATCAGCATGAAACAAAGCAAGTGGTGGAACACCGGAAGCACTGCCTTAATGCCACTCAGATATCTCGGCATGATATAATGAGCTGTGTTACCTGGAAATTGTAAGGTTGGGGCATGGAGTTTGGGTGTTTTTGATGAATTTTTGAATCAGTTTGGTCTGATGGTATTAAAATACTTAAATCTAGCTGCTAAATAAAGATGAATAGGGCTAAAGACACACTCAGAGGCTGAAGTTAATGGTGGTAACACAAAAGTTGGCAAGAGCGCAGAAAAAATTTTCTCAAGCTATTCTTACTGCTGTGGTTATAGGTATCTTAAAGGATTATGATGAATTCTCTTCAACTAGACCCACTTATGTGCATATACTGACAAATTAAAAACCAAACGCAAAATGGTTATAACCCCTAAAACTAAACTTTTACAACCTACTGATATTTTAATTACATTGTTTTATTCTCTCAGTTTCAGTGACAACTTGTAGGAATTTATTAGTTCTTGTGGTATTTGTTTCTACTTTAAAGTTCTTTCCAAAGTGATTACTACTGGGGACAATTACATTACAGTTGATTCTTTGCAGACTTTCTCTTTTAACACATTTTAAATTTGTTTCATTGCAGACTGTATCTTTTAGTCTATTTCTCATTGTCCTCATCCTTTGGCTGTAATATTCTCCCAAGTGTGGTGGCTTTATACCACAACAGCCATGTCAAAAGCAGTTATAGCACGTCATTTAACAGGCAGTAATTGTCTCCAGGAATCACAGGAATCCTGATCTGCTGCATCAGACATTACTTCTTTGACAGCTGAAGCTGAAAAGACTTTTGGGGATATGACCTAAAATACACTCTGTCCCAGGTTACAGGGACTGTGCCAAAAGGCTAAAGGGCTGAAGTTCTGAAAGGAAACACAGCCATATGTTTATCTTAATTTTGTTTAAAAACTTCATTTCTACATGAGCAAGGTTTATGTGTCATGCTGTCTCGAGTAGGGATTATTTTAAACCTAGTGGCCAGTTTGAGCCAAGCCTCACATGTGGGTAGGGTTTGTAAGAGAAGAAAGGTCTGACACATTTCAGGAAAAAGAGGCAAGTGGCCCTACTAAGGTTTCCACTGGGAAAGAGCCTGCCACTGAAACTCATGGCTTTCAACACTGGAGATTGCATGTGCTAGAGCTGCTTTGATGGCATGGGTACTGCAGCCAAAGCTCTTACCTGTCTAGGCACTGAAGATAATCAACCACCAGACACAAACTGATCAGAATCCTGATTTTGTCCCTGCTGGTGCTCCTGGAAGCACATGTTGGTCTGTACTTGGCAGTGGGGGTGCAGTTAAAGTTCTGTTAGTGTTCTAAGCTAATCCTGCTTTCGTGTGATGCATAATGCAGCCATAAGCTTTTCAAACTTTTTAACCTGATATTCAGTTTCTGAGGTCAGAAATGCATTTCAGTAGTGTCATTGTTCTCAAAAAGTCTCCAAGGATGTGTAAGTGAATTCCCATGGTTGAAGCCCCAACGCCATGTCTTTTCCGGCTATTCATACAGTGCTCATTGGTTGGTGACTGGGAGGAAAGTTATGAGTTCAAGGCCAGTTTTAGACATTTTAGACACACTAAGTCCACGAATTTGTTTGGGATGCTTACCCTTACTTTGCCTTTAATACTGTACATAAAATATTGTATAATTAGATTTCTCTAATAATTCTTAGTTTCCTGTTTCGCTTTTTTCTGATCTGTTATATATCTATGTGCTCAAAAGGGAAACCATCCATTGTCTGAAGTGAAGCAGGACCTGAAGGATGTATCTCAAATATACCCGTTGCTCTCTGGGTCCAGAAATGATCTGACTGGAGGGGAAGTTGACCTTTAAATCTCCTGTGCAGTCACATAGAGTAGGACTGCAAACCAGACTTGGCTTACTGTAATCATATCCCTTAGAACTTCCTTTTTTTTTTTTTTTAATGGTAAATGGTTTTCAGACTATATCTGGCATTTTCTTGAACTCCTAAGAACTATGAAGTAATGGAAAACTGAGCACTTACTATTTGGCTCATTAAGTGCTTTGAGAGAGCATTTTCATGGAAGTTGGGCCTATGTATATCTCATGAGATGTTAAAAAAAATGATGCTTAAAGTGAGCTTAAAACTTTACAAACTATTAAAAATACTACATGAGGCATAACAGTTAAATAGCTACAACTGTAGTTAAACAGTAGAAAGGCAGATTTGATTTTGACTGTAAAACCAATATTAGAGCAAGCTACAAACTAATTTGCAATGTCTTACAGCAACAATTAGTGGCCTAAAGGATGTGACTTTTCATTAGTATGACTATAACCAGTAGGAGGATCTGACAGGTGGCTGAATCATGACCCGTGTAGTCATGCTGAACTTCACATATACATACATCTACAGCATTTATTGCTCAGTCAAATTCCTCCTTTTATAATTTTGGATTGCCACATTTGCAATTATACTGCATCCGGCAGAGTGCTCTGAGATCTGTAATTAGCAAACACATCTACAGCAGTCACACAGCAACAGAAGTAACACTCATGTACTTATGAGTGTAATATCAAAGCGTTGTATGTGATACCCTCCTACTTACCTATGTATTTTGGGGTATGACTGAAATGAGAGATGTTTAATGGACAGCTTGTTCTCTGAAGCACCCTCCAAGTGTAATGATAGGACATAGGTGCGGTTCCTATGAGCCGAACAGTGTAGAATTGAGTTGTTTGGGAATTCTACATTCTCTGCAATATCTTCAGTGGCTGCTTGATTAGCTGTGAGAAGAGGGAGGCTACACGGATCCTAGGTGTATAAGCATCTGCGGGGGTCCTGGCACACCAGAAAGGATGGGGAGTTGACTGACCCATGTGTATTTTCTCTATATAAAAACGGCAGAAGACACATATTTATAAATCATCTTGTAGAGAGTGAGTGTCCCCAGTAGTGCTCAGTCTGTAAGATGGAAGAGTTTGTAAACAATAATCACAGTGGCAGGGATTTGCCAGTGTAATGACTGGAGGTGCAGCAGTGTTTGTGTATATCCCAAATATAGGACCACATTAAAGTGAGAGAGGTAGGTATCAACTCATCTGTCTTTTCTGACTGCGTCCAACTCAGAGCATTATTGCTGTATGTGGGGCTTTCCCTGGCCCTGGTACAGTCTCCTTGTGAGTCCTCTACTGTCGGGAGCCTAGGATACCACAGTCACTATTGCCCGCATGGATCTGGGTCCCTGGTTTAGGAGGGAGCCCTGTCACCACTGCAACTTGTTCATTTCCAGAGGAGGCATTAGCAGTTTGTCTGCACCAAATAGGGCAGACTCCGGGCACAGAAGGCTCACATTCAGTGGCCCTGGCTCCTGAGCTGCCAGGCAGCCACGCAGGCCTTGGAACGAGGCATGGCACAGGCTGCTCCTTTCAGGTACGCTTGCCTTTCTGCTGGACTGAGGTGGTTGTAACCACAGCCCAGATGGCCCCATTGTCTTTGCACACAAACTGTTACTGGTGTGAAGTGAGCGTCGAGCACAGGGCTGCTGGGCAGGGCAGGCAGTGGGTATGTGAGGGGCAGGTATCAGGGCGGCGGCCTCCCCTGGGGCCAGGGGCACAAAGGCAGCTTCTCCCCTCCTTCGCAACTCCTCTGGGCAGGTGGGGGCACAGCCTCCCGCGGCTCGGGCCGTTCACACTTTCAATCGCTGCTCAGAGGATGCCTATATATGCAGCTATATATATAGGTCCCTACAGAGATGAGCACGCGGTCGTGTGGAGACACGGGGTGCCAGCGCGGGAACACCTCTGTGGCTGCACAGGCCGAAGAGCGAGAGCCGGTGAGCAGCTAACGGGAGTGCGGGACAGGCCCTTCGCGGGAGCAGGCCCACGAGCGGCAGGGCAGCCTATGCCGGGTGAGTGAGGGTCCGGGGGCCTGTCTGCCCAAACACTTTTTGGGCGGGGGCTATAAGAGGGAAGGATACTGGTAAACTGGCAAACCGATAAACCACGGCAGGGCCGACCCCCGCCGAAGGGCCGGGCCCGGCAGCGCCAACAGGCCTCAACCGGGCCGGCGCTCTGTTGCTATGACAACCGAGTTGCCCGGCAGGCGGGCGGCCAGGCAGGAAGTGGATGCACGCGATTGGCAGCCGCGGAGCACGTGAGGAGGGCGAGGGGCGGGGCGGTCGGTCCGGCCTGGGGGCGTGATGAACGCGGTGCCGGGTCCCGCAGACCCGTCCGGTCCCGTCCCGTTCTGCTCCGTTGTTTTGTACCGGCGGCCGCGAGGCGACCGAGCGCGGCGGGTTCCGCGCTGCCGAGCGGACGTGCCCGTAGCCGCCGGGCTGTCATGTGTGTGCCCCGCTCGGCGGGAGGCGGGGAGTTCCCGGCGGAGAGGAGGGGAGTTAGTCAGCCGCGAGGAGGAGGAGGAGGAGGAAGGGCGGGAGGCAGAGCCATGGAGAGCAGCACTCCGCGGCGGCGGGAGGGGCGGGCTGTCTGACCGGGGCGAAGCGCGGGGGGCACGGCCCGGCAACCCGGGCGGCAGCGGCGGGGCCGGGGATGAAGGTGCCGGGCAGCCCCCCGCCGCCACCCGCCGGCCGGTGACGGGGCAGGGCCCGCGGGCTGCAGGGCGGAGGGGGTGTGGGGGGTCGCTCGTTGCCCTCCTCGGGGCAGGCGAGAGGGAGGGGACTCCGTCCGGGGCCGCCGTCGCCCGGGGCCGCGGTGACTCAGAGCCGGGGGTGAGCCGAGGTCTGTTGTTGTGGGATTTTTTCCTCGGCAGGTTATAAATAGCCCCGCGCGGCGCCGTGTCACGGAAGGACACCCTGGCCGGGCGCGGGGAGAGGCCGCCGTCGCTCAGCCGTCCCCGGCCTGCTGCCTGCCTGCCGGCGGGCCCTGGTGCCAGGCAGGGGTCCGCTTGCTGTTCGTACGGCAAAGAATCGCTCTCGGGTAGCTGGAGGCAGCGGCAGCCAGCCTTCGTGGGGGGAGCAGCGGGGCACGGGGGCTCCTGCCTGAGGAGACGGAGGAAATGAAGCCGGAACGAGGTAAACGGTTTATCAGGATATTTCTTTGTGTGTGTTTTGTTTTGTCGCGGATTAGCCTGGTATTTTGTTTCGGTGTTATCGCTCTATTTCCTTATCCCCTCCCCTGTCATTTTGGGGAATGGGAGAGAATCTTGGTGCTCGGCTTCACTCCCATTAGCATTTCCCGAGTTGGTAGACTGGATGGTACCCCGGGAATGTGTCCAAGAGCCCCGTGTCCTGCCTGCCCTTCAGCTTCCTATTGTCTGGGTTGGACGGAAGGGAGACAAAACACCGTAGCGAACTGCTTTTGCTCTGGGAATGCTGCAGTTGGTGTGTCAGCTACAGTCGGTTTGTTAGCCAGGACTGCAGTGCTGGGGCGGGAGTCGGTCAAAGGCAAATGGGACATCGACAGACAATGCCAGCACGTGGGCAAAAATGACAAAATGTAGCTGAAAAAACACCCTCGGAAGAGCCGTAACTTAATTCTGTGATGTTTTGTAATCTGGCAGAGGGGTTTGTTCCGGTTATAAAGGAGATGTATCGTAACAAGCATGCTGAAATACTATTTTTTCGCCATAATTTAGTTCCATCTTAATCTGGATTACTGACATCTGGATTTACAGGAAAATAAAGTCGACTGTCTACGTATGTGTTTGTAATACTTCAGCTCTTTTGCAGTATAGCAACAGCTGCTGATGCCCCTAGAGTTGAAAATATGTCATGACTTCTATCTTGATCTACAAGAGCAGTGATTATTGATTCCTGTTACTTAAAGCAAGGTTGTTTTTTAAACAGATCTTATGAGTTCTCATCGTAGAAGTGAGTGTTAATTAAAAAAATTACTTAGAATTATTGCTTAGATATTTGGGTTTCTTAAAATTTTGGTGATTCTATTGTTCACCTGGTTGCTTTCAGTTTTAAAAACACATTCTTTTTTTTGTGTTATAATCACTGGTGTTTTGAGAAACACTTTAATATAGCTTAGATATCCGTGTGTTAAATGCTAACACGTACATGACATACACAGCTTAATTAGGGTTGTTAATGACATGTTTGCTAATAGTGACACTGCGTAAATGACCACTCTTAGGTGTATTTCTTGTATGTATATGCTGTAAGGATTATATGATGTGGCAGTAGCACAGACAGTACAGAAATGATCACAAACATATACATAAAATAATGGGGTTTAAGTACTAGGGTTTCAAAATGGGCTTTTCTCTTTGCTTTCTTCCTTGTTTCTTAGTTGTGTAAACCTCTACCTGATCAGTTGCAGCAAGGCACGTTGTTTTCAGAATCTCTTTGTTTTAATACCAGACACTGAAGTTTGAAAGGTGTTTGCTGTCAAGGTGAAACAAAACTTCAAAATAGCCAGGTAAAACCCAAGTCAATATTTGCAGCTTTAAGATGTTCTTCTGTAGCCGTTCAGAACCTCCATATGACCTGTGCTTATTCTTTAGTTTCCAGGCAGAAAAAGTTAGATGTGAATGTCTGTCATTAACTGGGTGAAACCCTTCAGAAGTAATATCTTGGAATTCTGTTAAGATTAACAAAAAATCTCGAAATATCTCCAGACCGAGGGAGTATCTCCAGCCATTTTAGTAGATACGTGTAGCTTAGCTGTGTGCTAATGTAATAAAGCAATACCGTGCACAAAGGGGGTTGTGAAAGTGCTACCCTAAATACCACATGCAGCCCATAGAGCTTCTTAGGAGGCAGGAATTGTGCACATATTTACATGTGCTGCTTTCTGCATAGCAGCTGTACCATGGGATACAAGCAGCCAAGTGTGTAGTCACCTGCTTCCAATCATCCCAAATTAATAGCAAAGAACAGGGGAGAAGCACACTCAGCTTGCCACAGTCTCCACTTTTCTGTAGACCCTCACAATCCTGAGAGGACTGCAAATCTGTGCAGCAAGTAAAAACAAAGAAACAGACTTAAACAAACTTGAAATATTTGAGTTTTTTTTCATTCTTGCTAGTAATTATATCAGAATCCACTTAGAGCAGAGATGTAGTTTTTGTAGATAGAATTAAGCATAAAATTATAGTTAATAAGATTGTAATGGCCCCACCTTACTGGGGGAAGTTATGGTTTAGCCTTTGTCATACTAGTAGTAAGATTCTTGTTATCACCAGCAATAAAGGGTGGTGCAGGAGAAGAAAGGGGAGATCTAAATGTGCAACCACTTTAACAGTGGGAAATGTTACAGAATACTTGAAGGAGGTGAGAGGGATGAGCGGAAATGAAGAAAAAAGGGAAATCCTGCCCTAAGGTACTTACCTCCCTTTATATTGTGGAAAGTGTGAAAATTACAGCTCTAAACATGTAGTATACGAGAGCAGTATGGAGAAGATGGAATGTGGAGTGTTGCATAGCAAACCAGTGGAGCAGTTTTGCAAGTGAGGAAGAGGGGTTAGAAAGTGCAGGTAAAAATGTGGTCTTGCTTCTTTGCCATGCAAAGGCACAGGCATTCACAGGATGTGTCTCATGAGCATCACTCAGGACTTGCCCATCAGGTGGGTTGTCAGTGTGGAAGGGCAGTGGCTGCTTTAAGCATATTCATGTAAACATATACCTGGTTTAGGGAATGCATTCACAACAATACTGGTGGCTGCTGCTTGGCTTTACCTTTCCTATGCTGCCACTTTTAAAGAGAAGTGTCAAAG